AGTGCCACATGCCATATCTCCTGTCCTGGGGTTCCCCCTTGCACCAGTATCTCCAAGTACATGGTGCAGAGATTTCCCCTACAATCACCATCCAGGGTTGCCCCCCATCCCAGGGGGACTCTCAGGAATGTTGACCCAGGGAGGAGTTCCTGGATTGGTGGACAGCAGCCTGCCCCACCACTGCAGCTTGGGAGGGAAAGTGTCCCCACAGGAATCAGTGCTCATACCACTCAGGGGGGTCATAGCTAGATCCCAAGCAGCCTCTGACCCTATGTATAAACTCCTTATTCTGGTGCTGCAACTGTCCCAGTTCTGTAGTAGCATATGCAACCTCCCTCAGTGAGCAGCTGGCAATCCATAGAACTTGTTCATGGACCTTGGCTGTGCATTCCTGGGTCTTAGTCAATTGAATAGGGTGCTGTCTGAGATGCAGGAGGTCAGTGAGGAGCATCAATAAATTGGTATCAACAGCCTTCCACATGGACAGCCTTCATCAAGCCAAGAGCACGTTGAATATCAGAATAGGCAACCGCAATCTTCCCCATGAGCATACTAAGTTACCAAGGAGTCACATTAGACAATTCCTTCACCTATAAACATCACATGCACAAAGTCAGCAGTAAAGTCTCTGCATAGGTAACTGCCTTAAGACATTTAGCCAGCATGACATAGTGTGCCCACTTCAAAGCACTCAGAACCACCGCACTTGCAACTGTATACACGCCAGCAGATTACTGTGCTCCTGTGTAGTCCAGAAGTTGTCATATTAAAAAGGTCAACACTGTTCTTAACAGTGCACAGAGACTCATAACAGGCTGCACAACTTGCACACACAGTATGTGTGTGAGAATTCCCTGCATTCTCAGGCATTAAACCAAGTGACATAAAACAACAGACACAAGCCAAATGATTACCCAGAGTAATCCAGAGTCTGAAATCTATTCCTACACCATTTTATACCAACACCAAACAAGTGCTCCATTGGGAACATCCTTGACAGTTCAGCGTGGGTCAAGCTGAACAGACTGAGATCTGGAGAAGGATGCTTCAAAACGACACTGCACAGGATGAACATTTTGGACAATATCCTGTGTGAATGCAACAGTGTCCAGCAAACAGCACAGCACTTAATTGCAAGCTGCAATCTTTACAAATGCCCAGACAGGGTGGATGAAATCCACATGCTAAGTGATACTCAGACAGTGGCTCATAGCTGGCCAGAGGAAACAAGTGTGGGGAGAGGGTAAAAGGGTTGGAAACAGGAGCTTCACTGCTTTGGATGACTGAGAGCCTGGGGACGAGGCCAGCTCCACACTTGGACAGACCACACAAGTTCTGGCCTAAGCTAGACTGCAAGGGAGGGTGAGCAGGGCCCTGAAATGTTCCATGGGATGCCTGCAGAATGTAGCTTACCAGGAGTCAGGATGCAATCTGGTACAGATGTTCATTATGGAGCTCTAACCTACAGTGCTGAAGTCTGATACCACATCCATCCAGGGTTATCTTAAAGCAGGATCTGCCATTTTTTACAGTACTCTGTTTGTTTATGGCTGTAGGGCACTCTCTGCATGCCTACCGTGCAATTAGTATAACTTCTTAACCATGCCCAAAGGTCTAAAAAGAGGTAGAATTTCATACATGCTTCGCATGCTCAGCATTTCCTATCAGATAGCTATAAGGCAGTGTTCTGCTTGGTATACACGTTTTGAATTCAATTCTGAAGCACCTAGCTTTCCCCATGCTCTTCCTAGTAAACCTAGGCACAATAATCAGGGCTCAGGTTTCCACTCCAAGGGATAGATGCCTAAAAGTGCCTATCTTGTGGGCATCTGAGTCCTTTATTGGTTATAGTTCTTAAAACTGAAACACTCTAGTAATTTCTCACCTGAAAGGAGGAGGAAAGGGAAGTCATGACCAGAAAAAAGTTATAAAATGACCAAGAGAGACAAGAGAGACAATACCCATACTCCAGAGGAAGAAAACAGACACTCTGAGTCAAAAAGGCAGGATACAACCCTGCAATCTAACAAGAACGTAAGATGGTCCCTCAAATATACAGATAGGAAATATTACCCATTCATGATAAATTAAGAGAAACTGTCCAACCACCATGGAGATGTAATGCTTATCTGCTTCACCCTCATGGTGTGAGGTGTAACCAAAATCTATTTGTAGAGAATTACATAAATGCAGAGGATTATCAGGGCCAATCAGTTGCAGAGAGAATAAGCTCAGAAATTTTGAAAGCTAGCTCTTCACTCATTGAATTCAATCATGTTACTGAGGTTGAAAGACATCCCTTTATCTCTGGAGATATTCATTAAAATGTCCCAGGCCTTTTGAAAATATTTGAAAGATCTGCTGCATTTTAAAATCCCTGGAAAGTGGAGATTATTTCAAAGTCTTAGCTTTACATAAACCTAATAGCAAAATCTACTATCTATGCCAGTTCTCACTATTTGAAGCAATTGCTTGAGAAAAGAAACCTAATACATAACCTAATGTAAAGTGATAAGCAACAAATACAGCACATGAAAAAAATGTTAAACCAAAGATATTTCCTTCAAATATCTTCCTTTAATCAAAGTAACAATTTTAAGATAGTACCTGATTCAGCAGTTTAATCCACATAGGTAGTTCCTTACACATCTGAAGTGCCAGATGGTCAGGTAGGAGACAGTAAGTTTAGTATGGACCTATCCACATTATTAACTTCTATATTTGTGTATATGTATGGCTATATATTTAATAGTATAAAGCTACCATTTTATAAAATGAAAGTCAAGTTTGAGTACACGTCAGAATTATAATGGCAGAATTCTTACATAGCTATGGTAATTATCCCACAATCAATAATTACAAGCCAGGAAATTCATTTGAGATTTTAAAAGAATCCAAATATGTCAATGTATGGAAATGTTAGCAAGGCACACAAATTACCTTAACTTGGATATGTAGTACTCCATGCACTAAGCAAACAATTGTGATCGTATCAGTGCTTGAATTTCCAGATTAGATCAAACTGATTTCTAGAGACATTCCAGTTTTTCATTTTTCTTTTCTTCACAAAGTTATGAGAAAGTAGAGGTAAAGTTGTTTGGGTATCTTCACCATGTATTTACATAACTTAACATCTTACCACCTGCTATCATTATGTGAAGTTTGGCAGTTACCATTGTAAAAACAGGCACCTTGCCAAAAAACAAAACAAAACTTGCAGCTTTTTCTCAATGAGAACAGCAGGACATTTTGAAGGTATTTGTGGAATTCTACAAAAGAAAACATTTTTCGTCAAACTTCCTCTAGAAGAAATTTTCAGCTATGTAAAATAATAGAAAAAAGAATGCTTAATACTTAAGAAACGTCTGGAAAGGTAGTCTATTTATGATCCTTCGTTGAGGTTTGAGCATATGTGAATTTTAAAGCATCTGTTATTCTGTATTAAAGATCTTTTCCCCAAAGAAAAGAATTGAAACCTCGTTCTAATTTTCTTTAGGACATCATTCTTTCATTAACTTTAATTTATAATGTAGCCAATTAATTGGTAAATTCCATACTCCAAGAATAAATGTTGAAATTATTCTTCATGTATGAAAAAGCATGTGAATCCCTTCCATCAGGGATGCAAACTTCAACCCAAATTTAACAATGGAACTGCAATACATGCTTCTATAATACTGAGATAATGTTAATTCATGTAATGGCTATATATCCTTTTAAGAGATTCACTGAAATGAAGACAGAAGTCTAAACTGCACATTTCTCACAATAAGCTCTGCCTAAATAACGTGCTTCCTGATAGCAAATTTCTAGTAGTATTGAGACCAGGGGTTGGAATTTAGCCATTGCTTTCTTGTGAACTTCCACAAATGACTTTTGAAATACTTGCCAGTTAAATTTCTCTGAGATAAGAACAGTGAAGGAGCCTTATTTATGAAGTTCTTTAATGCAACAAGATCAGAACTATCACACTAGAAAGAGAGAGACTTGGGAAAAAGCTGTTACATCAGCATGTGCGTATCTAGAATTTTGAATGGGGGAATGCAGATAGTAAAGTGCATCATCACATACAAAACAACACAAATTTTTTTCCAATTAAAAATAAACTAGAGGCTTTACTAGGACTGTATTATTGAGTTTAAAATTGAAGCACAAACCAAAATAACCTCCTTCATGAGTGACTGGAGCCTCCTGAATCTGGGGGGACACCTGCAGAAGCCACTGACGGTGGCAGCCCTGTCAGGGGGCACCAGCCCTGCTGACAGCATCAGTGTTGGCTGTTAGGAAGGCACCGGCCATGTTGGGGGGGGGGGCACGTGCACCCCCATGGACCCCCTACCAGTCACCTATGACTTCCTTGGAATGAGTTTAAAACCATCTGCAGGGCTGTGAAATAGGAGCTTCATTAGCAAGTGCAGCTAACACAGCAGAATTTCAGAACAATGGATAGCTTGATTGGTGGAGCCTCAAGACCATTAGAAAGAAGAGAGGGTCATTAACACCTGAGTTAGGAAGAATTTAAAGGGGATCAGATAGATTACAATGAGCCACAAAGTCAGTTGACTCCTTCAGCACTGCCTAACTAGAAATGCTGTCACCATTGCCAGGCAGTTGGTTTTAAAATTTGCAGAGCAGGAATCAAAGGGGTGGAAGGGCTCCATTGTACCCCCACTGCATCTGCTCCTGTACATGTCCTCATAACTGAAACCAGTTTCTCCACAGTAACAGCATGGTCTTTGCACTATTCCCTGATTATGTTACTCATGCTGATAAAGGTCCGAGACTATAATTACCTTAAAACTTGCAAGTTAATGAAAAGATTAATCCATATATTATTTGCTCTTTATTCTGTGCCTCAGAATAAACCCCAGGACTATACTGCAAGACAACTGGCACCAGATAGAAATATCCAGCATTTTCTGAAAGTGTTTAAACTAACCCTTACTTATCAGTCACAGTCGTTCAGCCGGGCTCACGTATGTACCAGTTGCAAAGGAGAATATTGTTGCTCACATTTTAATTGGAATTTTTTGCTAGTGAAAACCACAGATCCAGGTTTGTCATGTAGGTAAAACAGATTCTCTCTGCATAAACACCAGAACACTGCTTTTCACAGCATATATCTACCATATACAGAAAACATGCATACATCCTTATAATTTACAGTTCTAGTACAAATACAGTTTGTATTTGCCTACTGCAAATGCAATTTTGCAAAAAAAAATCTCTACATTTAGTACTATGGTATCAGAGATCATTTAAACTAACACACTGATTTTATCATCATATTTTATTTAGTCATAAATAAAAATTCTGATTCTCTGGAGTTCCAAAGAATATGAACCTGGCAACTTTAATAGAGGAGGTAGTGACTTCAACCTCATCAGAATTGTCACAGAAAGGATTATTTTAAATTCCCTTTATAATCCTATGCATAAAATACTATAGGTCCACATTTTACAAACAGGCATAATTTAAAATAGAAAAAAAAGTAAAAAATATCTTCTCTTTCCCCCCGAGCAATGACTTGTTATGAGATAAGTTGAATGAATTCTACAAAAAGCAAACCACTGACATAACAAGAAGCATGTATTTAATTAAATGCTTTGCAATGATACATGAATAAAGCTATGTGCATGGCATTTCTTTCAGGATGGCCCCAGCTGTTTATTTGTCTAAAGGAAAAATAAAAACAAAAAACTCGGAGAGCAAAAAAATGCAATAAAGTAATAGAAAAAAAAACAACCCTCAAAGTACATTTGTACCTACATGCTTTACATAATAAAACATGCTGGTGTTACAAAACATGATATATACTGAATGACCAACAGATAAAATGCACTTTAATATTGTTCTTTCAAACATCAGAAATCTAACAGCTACACCCATCCAAAATGATGTTGGTGATAATCGTCTTTATTTTGTTAGGCTTTTATACAAGTCATTTTAGCACCATCGCTTTTTTTCACTGTTTTTGCCCTGCCTATCTCCATTTGTGGAATAACAACAGAAGCATAGCACCTTTTCGTATCTAAAGTAAAAACAGGAATATGAAATGCATCCCAACTTCTAGAGATGAGGTAGCTCATGCTAAGAAATGGTGGATCTTCTTGCCCTGATAATTCAAGGCCAGTAGGTCACTATTACTGGTGAAGCATGTCTGGTTGCTAACTAAAACCCACTAATTTTAGAACATTCTTGCCTTTAGAAATATCTGGCCTGGTATTCATGGGCACACTTGACAACACAAATAAACTAGCAACATATTTAAAACAATGTAAAATTTGATAAGTAATGGCTTATTAGATGGGTAAGTATTAAAAAAATCAATTTGTCTCCATTTTCAGAGCTATTTAAGGGTACATATTCTGTAAAGGATTTATATATACATGGATTTTAGAGAAGGAGAAAGGAAAGGCCCTTAAAATTCAAATGTAGGCCAAGTCCACTAAATATTCATATTCATCTCAGTGTTTTCTTACTTTGTAAATGTGTATATTTGAGGGATTTCTTCTAGGTCTCATAAATACGCAGCCATCTATTTCTGACTTACACCTACAATGGGAAGTTAAGTGCCAAATTAAGACAGCCTGGCTTTAAAAGATTTTCTTCTTTGAAAAGACATAGATTATTTTGACTGACTATCATACTAGCAAAAAGACAACATCAATGGTTTTATTTAAACAGGCCAAGGGGGGCGGGGAAGCATATTTTGCTGTAAATGTTATAAATGAGTTCAAAGTGCTCTGGGTTGTTTTGTTTTGGGGGGGGGGATGTTTTGTTTTGTTTTTTGTAATTCAATATGCATCCAAGAAGAAAAATAAGTATTCCATAGAATATTACATAGTCCCACATTTAAGATATCTATTTAAAATACCTATAAATTTTGAATTACTTTGAATTACGGAGGGGAAAAAATATCTGTTAAAAGGGTGGCCGCTCATCCTTTTTAAATTGTACTGATGCACTAAAATGTTGGCTTGGATCTTTTAAAACTGGAAGTTTGTAAGTAAAATAAATATTCAGAAAGAGGCCAGGCATTTAAAATGAACTGTATATACAAGCTGATCCAATATCAGCCATTATTTCAAGAGTCTCAGGATTAACTTCCATCAGTCTAAGTTCTTGAGTTTAGTTGATGATGTTGCTGTTGTTGGATTGTGTGTTAATTTTTTTCCCCCACTTCCTTTTACACAAAGCAAACTGGCCCAATCTCAATTCCAAATTCCTGGTCAGTACTGCCAATATCCACAGGGGCAATATCTATGATAGGTAAACGTGCCACATTCTGTGTTCTGTATTCAAAGACAGTTTTGCCCACATTCCCATTATGTTTCTGAAAAAGAAAAAAAAGGAAATCGTATGTCATAATTTGAGTTTATACAAAAGATGGCTTGCGTTGAGTGCCAGATAACTAATCTTTATGACTACAATCATCCTAAATGGATGCTGCTTAACACTTGCTTAAGGAGTACCTTCTTGTACTACACAGCACTTGCCAAAGTTTTATTTAACAACTATTCACCTGCTTGCATCATCAGGGTATTTTTAGCCTTAAGTGGCAACTCTCCTGCAGTTATACAGATGTCTTGGATTTGAACAAGAATTCTACAAGTCTACAAATGTTATTGTACAGGAGAAAATTTAGAACAGCAAACAAGCTGTTCTGTAGTTTTACTGTGGTCTTTCGCTTAATAAGATCTCCATTTTGTAAAGATTCCAACGTGTTAGTAGTACGTCTAGAGTCCTTCCTAAGTGGCACTTCAGTGTTCAGTTTTCAGCACATCTGAATTCTTGGCTGTGATCATACACAGCAGAAAGTGGGTAGTAGAAAGTAGAAGAAGGAAAGAAGAGACAAAAATGAATAATGACTAGTAATTTAGAGTTCAACTGAAAAAACCTAGCATTAACAATTTGTACCAAAATATCTTTTCCATCAGTAATTCCTATTATGCTGATACCTAAGATGAATTTGAATTTTCCAAGTCCAGGGATTTTATTCCAAATTGATAAAAATCTGAAAATATTAAAGGTTTTTATTCTATACTATATGAGGAAATAAGTTATAAAAGACAGAACTTACAGAACAGGTGTCCTGAAGAACAGTATATCTAAATCGGTTGTTTCCTTCTGCTTTGATCTCCAGGTCATTTGACCCCTTAAGAATTACAGCTTTTTTGAGGTTCTTAGACTGGTCATCCATGTACCCAATGCTGTTCTTACAATGGTAGGTGATATTCTGAGAAGCCTCCTTTGATAGGAGACGCAGGAAGGTCATTTGGATGATAGCAGTATTGGGTGATTCACTATCTCCATAGACAAACTGCAAAAATATATAATAGATTATCATAGATTACTTACAATTATATAAATCTGAATTCACAAAATGTATGTTATAAATTATGAATCATTTCCAGACACAAAGTCTGGCTTAATTGCTTGAGTAATTTACGTAAAGTTGGCAACTAAGAAATTCAGAATATAATATAATCTTTGGAAAATTTTGGCCAAAATGCATAGTACCTTAAAAACAAAGGCCCTGATTTCTATTCTTAGAACCCTGGGGACACCCCATAGAAACTGAACAAGCTAACAGGGCTCTGAATAAATATGGGGTTCCTCCAAAACAAGGACACAAAGGAGGAGAAATGCTTTGCTCTGAAATCCTCATAGAGTAAAGCCTCCCATTGAAGGTTACCCAGAGACTGAATATTCTTCCTAAAATATACCCTATAATCCAAATACTATGTGATACCAAATTATATGGAGAGAATTTAGGGATATAAAGGAGGCTTTAGATTTTTGAAGAGTAAGCAATATTCGAAAATCAAGCATAAGAACAATTGATTATGCATAGTTTGTCTATCAGTGTTTCTAAAGATCTGATTATTATACAGTCTGTTCAGAATAGTACTGAATAGTTCAGAATAGTTGCAGTAGGGACCCAGCTGAGCCCCGTTCTCACTGGGGTGATGACTGCAGAGGCAGCAGACTCCTGGCCAGGCCCACAAAAACTGGTGAGCCCACGAGCTGACAGCATGCTCTGCTGCACTGCAATACCCTGGGCTGGACAGGCAGCCAAGCTCTCTCCTGGTACACACCCCAGGCCAGTGGGAGAGCTGGAACCCCAGCTCCAAAAGGACACAGGTCTTAGCCTGAGAAAAGGGCAGGCAGCCACCACAGAAAGTGATGCCTAGGGTCCGGAAGCAGCAAGTGCAGGGGCTGATGAGCCCCTCCAGGGCTCTCAACATGTAACGGTGGCTGAGGGACATATGGGAGCCAGCAAGGCTCCAGGTTGGCCCAAACTAACCCCTTACTTAAGGTAGCACCACCCCCAGAAGGGGGGTGGGGATCACCAGCACAGCACTGGCTCACACTGCATCCCTGCACCAGAGCCGATGACCCAGGATCAAGGACCAGGATGACACCAGCTCTCTCTCTTTGGAACCCTGATTGCTACCCAGCCACAGGAGGTCAGGTACTTTAGGGGCTCCACAGAGTTTTGTAATACCTGTGGCCCCAGATTACCCAAAGGATTTGGTCCAGCACAGACCAGCCCACTTGGACTGGACTCATAGCAAGGGCAAACCCTGAAGAGCCCTGACTGCCTGAAGAAAGGAGGCTGAGATATGCTGAGCTAAGAAAAGGCCTGAAGCAAGCACAGATACTATTGCTGGAGTTATATTAGTTTATTCATTTTCTTATGCAGGCCAGACACTGCTGACTGCAAAACTTTAACAAGACCAGAGGTGTCAATGTATGCTGGCCCCGGGCAGTGAGGTTTTCTTCCATCATGGACCCTTCTCCCTAACATTGAGGCCAGATGCCTAGTGAGGCCAGACATCTACTCTGAATACCAACAAGAACAACTAAGTGGAGAGGGGTGGGGTGTAAGGGAAGTGGAGCCACATGGAAGACTTTTCAACACTGTAACCTATGCCAGTCACAGCAAACCCTATATACCATCAGGTAACTCTTCCTGACACCTTTTCCAATTACACCAAGTTGTGGTGGGCAGGATATGAAAATAGGGGAGTGAGACACCCACTGAGTGTGCGGCAGTCAGGCTCCAACCTGGTGTGGCTGCTTGGCCTGGGTCCCTCTACAATAGTACTGAATCTGTTCAGAACAGTACTGTTCAGATAGGTAATACTGAAAACCAGAAAAAATAATCTAAATGAGTCCTTCTTCCCAAATAAATGTATTCAGTTACCTGTGAACCCCTGTTCATGTCAAGACCATACCATACAGGTTTGAGGTCAGCTGACCTACTTGTCCACCATGTTTTGCGTGGTATACTGGATGGGTTTGCAGAAATACAAGTCTCCCCAGTTTCCATGTTGCAATATACTTTAACGGCATCTTCAACACAACCCTGGTTAGGGTCAATCCAATATTCACCTGCAAAACATACAAAATATAATATCTGCATTTTAGTGAAATTCCTGAAATAATTTAAGAGTAACAATCAAGAATAGTACAAAACATGAGATCAGATTTTGTCCCAAGCCAATTATTCTGATGACTACATGGCTAAACAACTTAGCTTGTCAATAATACACCATACTGGGTATAAGATAACAACCCTGGGCTTGTTTTAATATATGCTCCAAACATAGCTTAAAGCTACAACAGTTGCATCAGTATTTAAAACATTTCAGAACTGGGAGTATTCAGAACTTTTTTCACCCCCATAAAGCCTTCTGGAACTCCTCAACTGGCACATAGCAGGGGTTTAAATCACCAGTGGATACTTTCCTCTGCAAACAGGAATCTCCTGGTGGCATAAGGACAGTTTCTATGCCATAATCTCCTAGGAAACAGCAGTTCAGAAAAGGAAGTCCAGTGATGCCTGTCTGCTAGACAGCTCTTGTCTGCAACTGGCAGCCAGGACAACTGAAAAAAATGAGGTGTTCAAACCATGCTGGGTAAAGTACTCATATGGTTTCAGCACTTGGATGCATTTTATAACCATGGGCAGAAGTTAACCTTCAGTGCTTGACTGTTAACAGTTCAACATTGCAGTGTATCAACTTATCACTGTGATCACCTACAGTAGTGCCTTAGGAGGAAGAGTCCGATGAAGTATCCAAATGACTTATGCAATAAAATATCCAAGCATAAAAAACATGTTTGTAAAAGGCTTCTGAGCTGGAGCTAACTATGGTGATTACCACAACAACCTACATGAGGTATTTTTCTCAGAGATTTTAAAAGTACCTCACGAAAGTACCTCAAGAAAGTACCTCAAGAAAGTACTCAAAAAGTTCTTCAAAAAGTATTCAAGTACCACCTCAAGAAGACAGGACAATGCAGTGCACATGCACACTAAATTACTAAATAATGAATTTTATACAAACCACTTTTCTTTGATGGGTGACAGAGTTTTAGATCATCGCATGTGCGTGCTGGGTGTTTCTTGGAGCCACCGGGACTGCGCATAGTTTCAATTTGGCTACTCAGTGACTTCAATGTGGCATGGACTCCTGGATCTGTCTTATTGTTGTCATCAGGGGCTGCTTCATCTTCAGTGAACTCCGGCAGTGGATCTGCCATACTGTCATCATAATGACCCATAATGTCACCAATGGCAGCTGTGAGATGACCTGGAGGGCCTGGAGGACCTGGAGGCCCAGGATCACCTGGAGGACCCTGTAGGTAAAAGCCATAAGAGTTGCACAAGATTCTCTTATTAGGAGAAATGACACCAATCTATGCATTCTATATCTCAGGAATTATGGTCAGAAATACATTTCCTGCAATATTAGTTTGATGTTTTAACTGAGATAAGGACTGAAGAATAATAAAATTAAAAACATTAATATGATATATCACTACTGAGTTTCCCACACACATGAATTAGTATAGCCTGAATACAGATTCTGCATTCAGTCCCTGGCATCTCAGAAATAACAGAAAGGCATTGACAGTTTGGCAGAAACAGGATAGGAGATAGAAAATAGGGCTGGATAGGTTACAGGGCTGCTTGCAGATGTTTAAAAAAAAAAAAGAAGAACCGAGCTTTACCGAAAGAAGTGTTCCTTTAACCTTGCTCTGAAGTATCTGTAAAGATTGGGTACTTCAGAGGGGCTTTTTGGCACTTTTAGCTAAAGCTGATTCAATCAGCTATTAGATAGAAGTGCAAAAGGCCCCACTAAAGCCCAGAATCTTTACAGACATCAGACAAGCCAGGTTGAAGTAACGCATTGCCTCTTCTGGGCATGCAGAAATGCTCCGAATTTAAATTAAAGCACCTTTTGCCGGGGGGGTTACATCTCAAAGCACTCCAAGATATAGAAACAATAATAATGAACAGATAGGATTAGATAGGAAATAGGATGAAATAAGGGGAAAGGGAATTACCAAGCATTTTTTGAGATAGGAAGAACAGCAATTCCCAGTCTACTTTGTCAATGCCATTCATTATTTAGATACTTTTAT